GTATGATCAACATTATGATACAAAAATAAAAATGTTCATCATGTTCGATACGTAATTGGTAAAGAATTACTTGAATTTCTTTCGGACGACAACGATCAAACCCATATTGTAACATAATAAAACATTCGTTTATAAATCTTGATGGTGAAAATAATGATAAAAATTCAAAAGAATAATGTAATTGTTTCACTGGTGTTGCTGAATTTCCAAGTAAAATACATAACATAGCTACACATAACATTGATACGACCAAAAGATTTAATTCACCATTGGTTGTTATGGCCAATAAATTTCCCATGCCTTGTGTACATATTATTCCCAATAAAAAGATGATAAATAACCAAATGTAGATACCTGGTCGTATTGTTTCATAGATATCGATCATATAGATAAATATTAACATTGTCAATGCTATATGAATCCATTCAAGTAATATGCGTGGCAAATAGAATGCTCCAGTGCTATACCAACCTGTTGATCAAAAATGAAAAAATAATTGATAATAATAAAGACATGATGATAAACAAATTACCATTACGATATTCATTCCAAAAATATTTGATATCTCTTGAAAATAAAAACGATGTTTGTACCAAAAATAAAGACATTAAAATATTTGTACATGTAACCATATAACGGAAAGACATTTCCAAATCAAAAACTTTTTCATCATCTTCTTTAGTTTTATTACAAGTAATATTTAGATCTTCTTGTGGATTGAAACATCCATCAGTATTGACCATTTTACTATCGAATATAAACAAAAACAATAAAGCAAGGAATACACAAATGTAACTGAACATAATGAATGGAATCCATTGATAACCTCGAACAAACATTACATAACGAAGAATCATTACCCAACATGATTGTAATGTAAATCGATTACGAATCGTAGGTATTCCATCGATAACAAAAACAGTTTTATCTAATACATCTTCATGTTCAGATAGGATTTTATTGTTTGCTAATCTTGATAAATCTTGAACTTGTAAATCATTGTAATTATGGCATGAATATTTGATCAATCGTTCAATCGGTGATAAATCTTCAGGATTCGAATCACTTGGTAGATTTTGCTGAATGTCAGACGGTTTGCCCGAATAAACGCATACACCACCTAATGCCATAACGTAAAGTTGATCGAACATCATCAACATTTCCATGTTTGGTTGATGAATACTTGTTATGATGGTCAGATTGTGAGTTCGAGCAAGTCTGGCAAGACAAGCGACCAATGTTTCAGCTGAATTACTGTCCAATCCACTGGTCGGTTCATCGATGCAAATCAAATTTGGCATACGGAGACTAGTCAATTCCAAACCCAGTGCTAATCGTTTTCGTTCTCCACCCGAACATTTTTGTACATAAGTGTCAGCAGCATCGGCAATACCTAATTCATTCAAAATGTTTCTTGCTATGCTTTCATGATTTATTTTCAATTCTTCTTGAGCATTCTTCAACCTAGATGCATAGATCAAACTCTGAAGCGTTGTCAGGCCAGGTATCAAATGCCAAGACACTTCTTGTGTCAAATAGCATACACGAGTTGGGCAATATTTGGTCAAATAGAATTGACTTTCTTCACATAATCTTGTTTTCATTTGACCATTTAATACTTTCATTAATGAAGTTTTGCCAGCACCAGATGGACCCATCAATGCATTCAATGTTCCAAATCGAAATTGGCCATTCAAATTTCTCAGTATTAATTTGCATTGATCATTGATATCATTAACGGATCGAATTTCGTAGATTGAATTCGAAGCGAATAAGGTAACTGAACGCCAAGCAACCATGATTTTTCCACGTGCAAAATTTTCAAACTCTAATTCTTGATTCTCTTTATGACGAGTTATTTCGTTCGAATCAATTTTCATCATTTCCATTGATGAATCATTGTAATCAATTGGTACAAGTTCGTTTTTCCCCAAAGAACGTCTAGAATTAATCTTTATATAGGGATTTGAAAAACGAATATACATCACACCGAAAGTGGCAATACGAATGGCCATTGTTGCAGCTATTATTTTGATAAGATCGGTATATACTTTATTTTGATCGATACCATAATCAACAAGAGCATATGATAACTCTGTTTCCATATCACATCGATCCAAAACATTCAACGAATACATCAAACCATTTTGTGATATTTTTGACATCAATATATCCGATATTATAGTCAACATAGGTCTTTGTATTTTTTCAACATTAAACATTGCACCATTAAACAAATGAATTGTTTCGACAGCAACAATGTTCAATATTATTACAAATTCTTGAATAGATAATATTGAACCGAAAAGCAATCCATAACTTTGTAGATAAATATAATAGATTAATAAGAAAAGAAAGTAATGTGCCAATCGATTGAAATTGATTTGATAATCATCAACATATGTATGATCGATAAAAAAATACATCATTCCAGTGGTGTATGCTGATATTAAGGCAAGTTCAATAATTTTTATCGTCATAAATGAAAAGTTAAATGCTCCAAGACTATACCAATCTATTTTTGAAAAGATATTTTTGATAATAATAATTAGTTGAAGCAATAAAACAGCAACAACAACTCACGATTACGATGTTCATTACGGAAAATTTTCATCAATGGCATAAATTCCAATACAGTTATGCATGCTATGACAAATGCAATAATTCCATTGCCAACATAAAGATACATTCGATATTGATCAACGAGTTGTTTATCTTGTAATTGTTCAAAACATGTTGAATTGTTATTCGATTCATCATCATCATAATCATCGAATCGATAGCATGTATTTGGTCGAACAATTGATTGTTTGAAAAACATCGATAATATTATGGAAAATGAAAGAAAAGCCAAAAAATGTTTCAACAATTTGTTACGTTCAATGATGAAAATTAAATTTGTCATTCGATGAAGATTTAGAAATAAATCACCAATATTGAAGGTTTTTCGATTATTCGGTATAGAGTTTATTAGATCTAGTTCTTCTTTCAAATTAACTCTTGATAACTTTTCTTGTTGTTCTTCAAGATTTATGTTTGCTAATCTCTGTACTGCTGTATTATCGATTCCTAATGAAATAAAATTCATTAATGGCATGAAATGTCGTCGATAATTGAACAACATACCTTCGCATGCTATTTTCAAATAGTTTTCAATTGGTGGTCTATCTTGTCGAAATTCCTCTCTGCAGTTTTGTTGAAGCTTCATTTTCAGATTTTTAGGTGAATCAAAATAAATACAAACACCACCTTTGGCCAGGATATAAAGTTGATCGAATAGATTGAGAATATCGGAACTTGGTGCATGTATCGATACTAAAATAGTCAGATGATCGTTATGATCGGCTAATCGACGAAGACATTGCATTACCAGCAAAGCGGAATTACTATCCAGACCAGTGGTCGGTTCATCCATAAACAAAAAATTCGGTTGTTGTAATGACATCAATTCCTGAGCAATGGCCACACGTTTTTGTTCACCTCCAGAACACTTTTCGAATTGATTGTCAAGAATTGTTTCATCAAGTTGAATTTCCTTCAATATTTGTCCAATATGATGATCCATCTTGGAGAAATCTTTTCGATTATTTTTGAATCTGAATGCATATTGAAGCACTTGTCGAATGGTCATCTTACCAATAATGGTTTCCTGAACATGTTGTTCGATCGAACGTATTATCGGTGTTTGTTGGTTACCACTACGGTCGAAATAGATTTCCGAGTCTGTTGACAATCCCGTTCCGCGTAATGTTCCATTCAGACAATTCAATAATGTTGTTTTGCCCGAACCACTTGGACCAAGAAAACCATTCAAACTTTGATAATTCAGATGACCATTCAATCTTCGTAGAATAATTTTTCGATCCCGTCGAAACAACAAACTGTTCGCTTCATAACGTAAATTTCTCCATGCTATTGATAATTTTTTCAATTTCTCATTTTCATTCATTTCTGACAACCACATTTCGTTATTTAGTTTTTTTTTTAAAAATGTTGATTAAACACTTTTCATCAATCTTCGACAAATCATTTTTTTAATATGACAAATCGATGATATTTGTTTTGGATAAATAAATCAAGTTTTTGCAATATTTCAATTTTCCCTCATTTTAACACAAAGATTCAATTCAGAAAAAAAAATCAACCAAAAAAAAAAAAAAAAAGATATTCGATAAAAGTATCTTCATTATTATCTGATCAATAATCAGCAATTTTTTTACTTAATCTTTAAACATTTTAATCTTTCATGGTCACACACACACATACACATCTCAGTTAAAGCACCTTGAATAAAAATTAACAAAAAAAAAAAAAAAAAAAAAATTTTTTGTTGCCTCATATGATTTTTGTTTTTCAAATTTTTTGTTTTCATTTTGGCATCAAGATTATAAAATTGGTTACATTTTAATAATTTTGAAAAAACTTGAAAAAAAGAAAAAAAGAAAATCATTTTCCGGACAGCCGGACTTGAACCAGCGACCTATGGATATCTTTTTT